CCCACCAGTCTTGTGTAAAATATAATATATATATATATATATATATATATATATATATATATATATATATATATACAGAGAGATAGATTAATATCTATAATTCAAAACATTAATGAATATTATTCAAAACATATAACACATAAATCAGTCCTAATCCAAAATAATTTAATCTAATTAATTACACACACACACACACACACACACACACACACACACACATATATATATATATATATATATATATATATATATATATATATATATATATATGTATATATATATGTATATACGTACGTAATTAAAAAATCTACTTACTTTCGTTTATAAGGCAGTGAACTCTATCACCTCACGTCCATGAACTTACCTGACTTTTCAGCTAACCTGATGAATATTCATGAGCACTAAAAAAAATATATATATATATATATATATATATATATATATATATATATATATATATATATATATATCATCAAAAATATCTTTAAACTCTAAAAGGACTACTCCGAAAAATATGTGCTATAATAAGAAAGGCCGAGAAAGTATCGTTTAAAATGTTGCAATAAAAACAAATTGTTTGAACATATGTGGCATCATGATGAAGGCTGAAGAAAATATCGGTAGATATGTTTTAGTAATGCGAACAAAAAAAATCATCTGAAACAAAAATCATCTGAAACGTTTAAGCAATACATGTGAAGAATCAGTAATACAACGAGGATAGGTTATGTTAGCGACATTCAATTCAAATTCTCTTTGAATTTCTACTAACTCCCTGAATTTATATGTTTTCTTGCGGATCAATGTATTTTTTACTATTGATGTTTACTTAAATATCGACCAACTTTCTATTTAGTTACGCTGTATCATGACGCGATTATGTGGTTTGAAATTTCTGTGATGTCCTCGAATAATCGTTGCTACTTTCGTAATGCTCGTTGTAGCAGAGACTTTTTAATCACAGATACAACTCTAGTAACGTTGAACAATACTGGTATCAGAATCCTTCGAATAACACTCACACTAATAATACTTGCGTATTAATACTCACTTGAAAAGTAACCATCGAACAGTGATCCGAATAGTAATCCGTATAATGATGATATTCACTAACCGCCCAATGCGGTCGGATTTGGCACAAGGCCGACTTTATTGTGGGGTATCCGAGCCCGTAGGCTCGGACAAAAATTACTCGTAGACCCCGTAAAAAAGGGGTCGGGTAGCTGTCTGCAACGCCAGACGAGACTCTGCCCTTTGGCATAGCCTCGTCTGGGTTCCTCTCTGCCCAGAGGCAGAGAGTTCGATAAGCACACCTCAGAAGCAATCCAGAGAGTGATGATATTCACTGACGGCCCAACGCGATCGTATGTAGCAAAAGGCCGAGTTTATTGTGGGGTATCCGAGCCCGTAGACTAGGGCAAAATTTCCCTGTAGAATCCGTAAAAACGGGGTCGTTTAGCTGTCTATCACCACAGACGAGACTCTGCCCTTTGGCATACCCTCGTCTGGTTTCCTCTCAACACAGCGACAGAGAGTTCGACAAGCAAACCTCAGAAGTAATTCGGAAAGTGATCACTTATACGCAACGCTAATTCCTCATATGTACCTTAGCTTTACCAGCACATGATCTAATTGTTCAAAACTAGGATCACCTGTATTTGCTCTCTGGTGATCTGTGTTCAAACTCCAGTGTTGGCAGTGGCATTTTATTTCTATATAACATAAATCTATACCGTTTTCTGATAAATCACTTATCATATTCATGCTTCAAAATATTTGTTTAATAAACACACGCAAAGAAATCTTGTCGAGATTTATTTACACAATTTTGTTAGTAGACTTCTACTACTACTACTACTGATAATAATAAATGCTAACTAGAAATTATCAAGCAAACATACAGCAAAATTATGTTGACCACAAATGCAGATATGCGCTGAATAGCCAGGAACAACTGACCACCTTGTATCAAGTGACACAGTATTAGCATCCAGTCACTTAGATGCCATATAAACGCTTGTGGGGATCAGTATCTCTTTCCATCCATGACTGCCTAGGCGGAAGATTTTCCCGCAGTATTTGGCCGTTTCTTTCTGTGGTAGAACCCATGGAAAAGATGGCTTCAGACCTAACTCAAAGGTATTTATTGCATAAGTAAATGTACCGAAACCGATTAGAAATCGAACCCGGCTCGCTTATTTATCATTATGAGCAGATATCTATTAACACAACAACCTATTAGTATCCATCGAATATATATCTTTGCATAGTTCAAGCTAATGTCTGCACTTGAAAATCCTCAAGTTTTATAGGGACGAAACTGAAAGAAATTTATATGAACAACACTCAAACCTGTTACAGATATAGGAGCTGTATAAATTTTATGGAACTTTACAATACACATAGAACAATCAAAGCTCATTTCTCAGATTATAAAACGACACACACAGAATATACTTTTTGTTGATATGACAATTTTCCCAGACGCTAAAGTAGCTTTGGAGATCTTCAAAAACTATTAAAATACATAGATATTGAAGCGGAAATTTCAAGAATATGGAACATAAGGATATCGAAAATTCTGCTTGTGTTTGGGGCTTTTGGTTGGATTGGAAAAGATTTTGATATACGCATTGAAGGGATCCCTGAACGCAAAGGTCATAATGAAATACGAATCGATATTTTAACAAGCACAGCTCACACACTACGTTGTTTTTTGGGGGCTTTTTGTTTTTTGTTTGTTTGTTTTTTTTTTGTTTTGTTTTTTAATGCTAATGCGTGAATTCTATTTTCTGACCTTATGTCAGAAATGAGTGTACAACAAAATTCAAAGTAAATAATAATAATACTTGTTTGGATTTTTTCCAAATATGATCAGTGGAAACTGCCATGAAGTCATTTCTGACCTTAGGTCTCTGCTTGGGACCCGGAAGAACAAAGTCTATATAACAGAAGTTAAAGGAAGAATTATTATTATTATTATTATTATTATTATTAACAATAATAATAATAATAATAATAATAATAATAAGGAAGCCAAAAAATTCAAAATGGAGTTTCCAATGGCTGAAGAAATGCAAAGAAAACAAAATGTCGAAATGAAGCCGAAAACTACTTAAAAAGAAAACCAAGGTAAATGCAACAGAAACGATGGCAAGATAAACCGCTTCACGGTCGGTACTTTGCCCTTACTAAACAAGCTGATGTAGGCAAACCCCATACTCATCAGTGGCTACGTAATGCAGGGTTAAAAACTGAATACGAAGGTTTTATTCTTCCCGCAGAGGACCAACGAGATTAGTAAGTAGAAATTATCAAGCTCAAAAACTGAAAAAAAAAATGCGTTAACCCAAAATGCAGATTCTGTGATAAATATCCAGAAGCAATTCATCATGGAAAACGAAACATGAAGACATCAATATTTCTGCTTTTGTTTGTGGGTCTTGGTTTGATTGGAAAAGATTTTGATAACACACATATTTTACATAGATAAAGCCCTTCGCAAGATGTGGGCTGTACTTGTGAGAACATTTTTCTGTATTTTCTTAAGGCATGGGCTACCAGAAATCTCTTCAATGAATCTATTGGAATCTTTTCCGGTCAATCCGAAGACCCCAACTAAAACTGGATTTGTTGATGTCTTCATGTGCCACATATTTGAGAATTCGATTTAAAGGTCCTTGTATTTTCATAGTTTTTGGGAGATTTTCAAAGATACATTGTCGTCTACAGGGACCGCCATATCAATAAGAAGGGACATTTTGTCTTTGCGGTCTCTAATCACGATGGCTGGGCGATACCTTTGAGTGTTCTCTCTGTGTGCATTGTAAATTCCCATAAAAATTGTTACAGGTTCTGTCTTCATAACTTGGTTTGTGTGGTGTTCATACCAATTCCTTGCAGTCTACTTTCCATAAAAGTTGTAGATTTTCCATTGCTTATATTGACCCACTCTGTCATGCCGAGTTTTATATCCAGTGGGTGCCATTATTATTATTTTTATTTCCTTTGATTTCTGGCGTTTACACATTTCTTTCCGGGTCCCGCCCAGAGACCTAAGGTTAGAAATGGCATCATAAAACTTTCCACTGACAAAAAATAAAATAAAATAAAATAAAAAATTACATAGATAAAGCCCTTCGTAAAGTGTGGTCTGCACTTGTCAGAACAATTTTTTGTATCACTTTGACGCATGTGCTTCCAGGAATCCCTTCTACTACAATATTTCCAACCGATCCTAGGGCTCCAGCTGCAACAGGGATTGTTGATTTTCCCATGTGCCACATTTTTGAGATTTCGATTTCAAGGTCCTCGTATTTTGACAGCTTTTTGAATATCTTCAAAGATACATTGCAGTCAGCAGGGACTGCCATATCAATAAGGATGCACCGTTTTTGTTTGTGGTCTTTAATAACTATATCTGGGCGGTTGTCTTTAGTTGTTCTGTCAGTATGTATTGTGTAGTCCCATAGAATTGTAAAAGGTCCTATCTCCGTAACAGGGTCTGGGTTGTGTTCATACCATTTCTTTCAGTTTCCTTCCTATAAAAGTTGCAAATTTTCCAGTGCAGATATTGGCCCACTCTGTCATGCCGGGTTTTATACTCAGTGGATGCCAATATCGTGCAGCCTGTTTATTATTATTATTATTATTATTATTATTATTATTATTATTATTATTAGCATTATTAGCATTATTATTATTATTTGTATCATATGATTTCGGTTGTGTATAAAAATGATTATATTCAAGTCACCACTCGTGATTTAAATTAAGCGGTCATTTCTTTTTTTTCACCGGCAGACACTATCGAATACTTTCCGGAGCATCCTCGCTGTTCTGTGCGAGCAAGCTTTTTGCAATGACTCTGTTTCCAAATCACAATCCAAGATCTGCATCATTTTTACCCAAAATCTATAATAATAATTATTATTATAATTATTCATATAATTCATAACAATCTACATTGAGTGAGACTTGGAATTTGTATTGGGAGAATTTTAATAAATAAAAAATAGAAGGATAGATAGATAGATGGATAGATCGATTATTATATATGTATGTGAAGAGATAGCTAGCTAGCGAGAAATGAATGGGCAAAGATTTATATATAGTAATATATATGAATCGACTAATAAAGAGTGAGAAAAACAAAGGGAAAACACACACACACAAATACACACAAAGACACACGCACGCACACACACACATACACACACATATGGAGAGATAGACTGTTATATATATATATATATATATATATATATATATATATATATATATATAAGAAAGTTAGGTAGATAGATAGATATGAATAAGCAAATAATGCTATATATATTAAAAGATAGATATGAAATGGCTAATGTATATATATATATATATATATATATATATATATATATATATATATATAGAGAGAGAGAGAGAGAGAGACAAAAAAGTGTGTGTCTGTGTGTATATATATATATATATATAGATAGATAGATAGATAGATATGAATAAGCAAAAGATTGCTATATATTAAAAGATAGATATGAGACGACTAATATATATATATATATATATATATATATAGAGAGAGAGAGAGAAGAAGAGATATATATATATATATATATATATATATATATATATATATAGATAGATAGATAGATAGATAGATAGATAGATAGAATATAGGCAGAGGTAGATAGGAAGAGGAGAGAGAAGATAGATAGATAGATAGATAGATAGATAGATAGATAGATAGATAGATAGATAGATATGTGATCACTCGTTGACATATATCTATGATCATATAGATCAATATATATGAAGAGATAACCATCTAGATAGATTTGAAGAGGCAAATATAGCTATATATTAACAGATAGATGCATAGATATAGATAGAATACTATATATATATATATATATATATATATATATATATATATATATATATATATATATAAACATATACACAGAGAGAGAGTGAAATAAAGACGTCAGATTGTTTTGATATATCAATAAGAATAAAGATAAAGGGATATGAACATAGACGGAGAAATAGATAGATAGATAGATAGATAGATAGATAGATAGATAGATAGATAGATAGATTTGGACAAAGAGATAGCAGGTAACTCCCGACTGAGATTTCGTATTTAAAATATTCATTTTAAATACAAAATAAAATAAATATACACTTCTTTCCAAAACAATCTTATTCAATTTATTTCATTGTACTTATCAAAGACGATTATTTCTGATTTAAATCAATTATTTCAAAATCTAATTGCTTGCCTCATCGCTTTACCTGAACACTAATCTGCAACGCAGCAACATACATTGTTTTTTCTATTCTCTTTCCTTCTATTTTTTATGTGGTTATTTTTTTCTCCTCTCTCGTCTTTTCCACGCCGTCTCACACACTCTCTCTCCCCTACACTCTTTCTCTCTCGTTCGATTTCTTTTCCTTTTTACCTTCCTCTACAAAATGCGATAAAATGCCATTAAGCTCTTTTCAATGCTGTCTAGACGCGTTTCGTCTACTTGCAAAGTAGCGTACGTTGTTGAAGACAAAAAATAATGGTGATCAGTAATGAATGGACATCGCTGCCGATAATCGACATTTTTTTTTTTTTTTCATAAAAGGTTAAATGCATTTACAAGAGTTTCTGCTCTTGCAATTCGCTTACGGATACCTGATCTGAAGGCGAAACAGCTTGACGTTGGGTGGCAAAGAAGAAGAAATGATCGAAAAAAAAAAAACAAGAATAAAATTTAAAGAATGCACCGCAAAACAAATTAATTCATTGATAGAAACGATTTTTTTCTCTCAAAAAATGCAACATTTACTTTTTGATAGACATTTTATAAAGATCAAAACCAAGCAAAGCTGATCAACACCAGGACCAACGACGTTTATTCAATGTGAAATCAAATATCTATTGCTATATGTTAGGAATTGTTTAGAGAAAAAAATATATATTTAATGTGGAATTAATTTTATAAAGCGTCTTACATTATGACAAAAAATACGATTTGTTATTTATTAAAAAAAAAAATATCGTACTTTCCAGCTCCCAAGATGCACTTTTTTTTCTCCTAAAAATACCCTGAAAAATACGTGAGCGTCTTCCAAGACGAATGTAAGGCAACGTCCAGGTTCAATTAAGCTTGATCCCTCACCTAATTGACTTGACTGATAGGGACGTTGATTTGTACGATGATTCATTACATTATAATATTAGCTATCTATTTAATTGAGCCTTTTATATGATATAAACTCGGTACTTAGCTGTTACAAATATTTTCAAGACTATAAACCTTCCTGGAGCCGAGCCACAAGCTTAAACATGCTATGTTTACTAGCAGCGACGGAAGCCTTTCTGCTCATGACTAGTATGTCATTACTGTACTGTACTGATGCGGCATTCACCCTGGGCGGATTGAACCGGCTTCTTCCTGTTATGAGAAGAAGATTCTTGGGATAAATTACAGAAGTAGGGTACCCAGGCCTACTCGGATAACGTTCTTGCTTGCCGTGGGGTTACCACAGACGCAGAGACAGGAACGACCAGAAGCCGCCGGTTACCGGTTATGTCATTGCCATACAAACAAATTCGGACGAGTAATTAATGTAAACAATACATTGTGTGATACACGCATGGTGAATGTGTTGTTATATGAAAATGAATTTTTTTTTCTTAGAAATTTCTTTCCAATATTAAGGTGCGTCTTCCATGCCGCAGAGTCCTGTAAACCAGAAAATACGGTACCTTGGGCAAAATTCGAATTCAGACCTAAAAACAAACTATTGCTACAATGTGGTTATTCGTTCGGTTATATGAACAAAAATATGCAAGTGTGTATCACGTAGGGCACTAAAGTATATTGATTTGTTTTTTGTTTGTTTTTTGTTTTTTTGTTTTTAGTGCTTATAAATTTTTTGAGGTTATTTAAAGCAGGAAAATATTTTTGTAAGAATTTTTTTCGGAAGGGTATTTGCGCACGAGTGAATGTTACGAATTCGACTGGAATTGGAACTCGGTTTTCAACTTCCAATCTCGAAACGTTAGGCATCACCTCAACGGCACATCCGAGCTTACATCACCTGGTATTCACAATTGGTGACTCGTCTTCGTACTGACTAAGGTCAGTACCAAGATGGGTGACCAATTGCTTAACCTCAGTGGACGTACATTGGTTCAACGTGATATGGCCGTAAGCATGCACTATAGAATATAGAAACAGAGGTCATTAGTTAAAGTTATCAAGTTATGGTTACACACACACACACACACACACACACACATATATATATATATATATATATATATATATATATATATATATATATATATATATATATTTCTCATAATGACAATATATATGAAGGAAAAAAAAAAAAGACAGTAGGAAAACTGTAGTTTTAGGCAATTCGTTTCGTCCAATGTGGACATTATCGAGGCAAACAAAAACGAAATGAATTCATTGAAACAAAGTAACTATGAACATCAAACTTAGATACTTTGTTTTAATAAATTCATTTCGTATTTTTTGTCTTGAAGAAGACAACATTGGACGAAACTCGTCTTCTAAAATTACAGTTTTCCTATTGTCTTTGTTTCATTTATATATATATATATATATATATATATATATATATATATATATATATATTATTCACAGAATAAAAGCTTCAGTGTGGCTAGACATCCGATTTCCTCAAGCCAGGATCGAAACCCGACAGATTTGGCATCAGTCGGAGATTTTTCCCTAAAATTCTCCCGTCAGAGAGAAAGGTGAACTTTTACGTATTTATTTTTTTATAAACACTCCAGTGACACAGAGTGCTCGATTCATAGAAGAGCTTTGCATTATCACCAGTAGCAGTCACTGTTTAAGAATTATCGCTCTCCCTCTAAAGGTTTCAAGTGAATTTTAATTTTTTCTGGGGCGTATATTTTGTCATCCATAGATAGACTGTTTCGCTGTATCACATCCCATCAGCGTGGCTAGACATCCGATTGCCTCAAGTCGGGATCGAAACCCGACTGATTTGGCATCATTAGGAGATTTTTCCCCTAAGCTATCATCTCCGGTATTTTTACGTATTTATTTTCGAATAAAAACACCAGTGTACGATTCATAGAAGTGTTTACTCTCTCAATCTGAGGATTCAGCAAATAAATAAGACGTCCATTCTTCATCAAGTGATAGCCTCGACACCGGAACAGCAAAATATATTATTTTATGTGCATATATATATATATATATATATATATATATATATATATATATATATATATATATATATATATATGTGTGTGTGTGTGTGTGTGTGTGTGTGTATGTATTTGTGTCTGTGTGTGTGTGTGTGTGTGTGTGAGTAAACAGATTTATATTCATATGCAATCATTTACAAACCCTAAGTTAAAATACCAGACAGTTCTTTCAAAAAAATTGGGGATTGAATGAGAAAGGACTGAACCCAGAGATATACTGGAAAATAATCCGTTTTTCACATAATCCTAATGGTCGTAGTCTTTGGTGTAACTTTTGTTTACAAGTAAAAGTTAGAATAATAAAATATAATGAACAAAGCAAACTATTAAATCAAAGGAATGAATTAGTTTTAAAATGCCGACATAGAGGCAGATTTAAACTTCTATAATATAGATATTACTTTAATTTATATTTCTTCACCATATTAATTATATCTTATAATTGTCCCCTGTTCTAAGAACTCTCTTTCTTTTATCACTAACACCTATTTATCGATATATATCGATATATTTTTAAAGTTTTTATTTTTTTTTAATATAACTTGGTATAGTTTGCTTTTTTTAATATAACTTGATTTAAATCATATTAAAGTTAAAAATGGAAAATTGATTTTATCTTAAAATTTTTTATTCTTCAATATAAATTTTAAAAATATATTATTACTTAAATTATATCTCATTTTTAAATATAATTTATTATTTTTTTTAAGTAGGAACCTATCTTTTATAGTCTGAAACATGGAAATGGATATCTATTCACCCAGCCCCTTTTGAAGTAATTTTAGATTTTGTTGTGTAATTTATATGCTCTTTATAATAAATAGATTGAGCTCTTTTTGCCGATCAGTTTTAATATTTTACATTATTAGGATCCTCTTGGATTATATACCAAGGGATTTATTACCTGCACTTATCTGGGTGAACATAGTTATATTATCTTTCTTATTGTATTATCCTGTTATATATATATATATATATATATATATATATATATATATATATATATATATATATATACACAAACATCATATATATCATAAGAAGAAACAAGAATATATATATATATATATATATATATAATATATATATATATATATATATATATATATATATGAAGCAGGAACCCCATCAACATCTTTCTCTAACAGATTTCATCTATCCTATGTGGCTTTGCCGCCCGCAGCACGGCTGGTGTAGTATCACACTTATGAAAACACAAATGAAATATGTCTTTCCCTTACCGGATTTTCTCCACAATAGACTGTGCAAGCATGCATGGATAAAACAAAAGGCACTATTCAATGCTGACCCACATATGTACTTTACGATAATAATACCATATATATATATATATATATATATATATATATATATATATATATATATATATATATATTTATATATATAAACACACCAAGCTGAAACCGAAAACACAACAAGCTGAACCCGAAAACATTACATTATCTCAAATATTATTTCAGTTCGTTCGATGGTCTGGTTTCCACGTTTGTGTTTAACGTTTTACTGATTGCTTATAATATTTCATAGGAATAAAACTTCCGGGAAAAACTTGAAAACAAATTAACTTAAAAAATATTTTTTAATATGCTAAAATATTTTTAAATCATTCACTTGAAAATATTCTTTTTAAATATGCCAAAAATATTTTTTAAATATTTAAAATATTCGTTATTTAAAGAAAGCAGAAATAATCATTATTCTACAAACAACTATATGAAGCACCAAAGCCGAATGTCTTTGTGTCTGTCTTTACCTTTTTTTTTCTTTTTTTTTTTAATTAAATAATTGACTGTTTGAAAGTCAACATAAAAATACTTACTTTATAAACAACTGGTATTTTTAAAATCTTATTCACTTAAATCAGATTAACTTAAATCATTATGCGCCGGACGAACACATCACACAAGTACGCAAGTACGTACAGACCATTAGTATTATATAGATTTCTGTTATAAAAATAATCAGAAAAATACAACGTCTGTTTTAAAGGTAAAGGGACTTGTGTCACATACAATTTATTTCAATTCCAAGCAACATCCTACATGGTTTTCCATTCGAAGTATTTCCTCTTGAGTCTAATACAGTTTTCCGTCCTTCTCTGCTAAGCTTCTTTGCACTTCTGGAATGATCTGTCTGGGATTACCCTCGACTCCTTTGTTACGGTCATCTTGATATCATCCCCACATTCACAGCGATGATCCCTCTGAGTTTGCGAAAAAGAAAAAAAGTCACGCGGAGCATATAAATAGGTATGTTCTTCCAGTAAGGCGGTGTCCTTTTCGGCCAAGAACTGCCGGATACTCAGGGCTTTGTGAGCAGGTGCATTGCTGTGGTGATGCAGCCGCGAATTTCCCTGCCGCGACTCTCGTGCACTGAGCAAAGCAAACGCCACTGGGTTTCAGTGTAATAATAATATTAATAATAACAGACTGTGGAGATGGTCCCTACCTTGGGGTACCGTTACCAATATCCTGACTACCATATGCAGTGCTGCTACAAAACATGTGAACAAAATTGCGTCGTAGAATCTTAGCACGAAATCGCACACCACTGATATCGACGGTTTGACCGTGCTCGTTTTTTTTTTTTTTTTTTTCAGCCATTGATCTACGTTGGATTATGCGCTATCGCCCAGAAACAGAAACTAAGGTCCATTCAACATCGTCGATGTATAAACCAAATGTGGGTTTTGTGGGTGTTGCAGAATCAGAAATGTGTCTGAGCAGGTGTCTGCAAAAGGGATAAACTAGGAACCCTCTCAGATAGGCGTACTCTGAAAATACTAGCCAACGACCAATATATATGATAAAATGTAGTTTAAAAAATGCATATGAGACTCTGCCGACGGAGCAAACTAGAAGGCTATGCTGATGACACACAGTACGAAGCAAAAATAAATAAAAAAAACAAAAAACTGGGTGCCTCCATAGAAAGTTGATTTTTGTATTTTTACCAAGTGAGTAATAGAACTCGTTTATTAATACATGTATGTTAATACAGGTGTATATATGTACATTATACAATTCGAAAAATATTTCCTATTTTGTGGATTAACATTTTGCTTTAATAATAGCCTTAATTCTTAGTGGCATGCTAAAGACTAAATTATCTATTAAGTCAATGTCCCTCAGCAGATTTTAATTCCGAAAAATCTCATCTTCTGCGTTAACTTTCCAATTATGGGCACGCTTGACCATTATCGCCCCAAAATTTTCAATTGGGTTGCGGTCAGGACTCTGGCTAAGCCACTGGAAGGGTTGCCGTATACCCTCGTTGCGCTTCTCTCTATATAACATTTGTTCTTTAAGGCTGTATGCTTAGGATCGTTATCGTGTTTGAACGTGATGCATTGATCTTGGACCAAATGTTTTTAGCAGAAGCCACATTTGATTACAAAGAATGTTGTGGTATTGGTACTGGTCTATGATTCCCTTGATTTTGTACAAATTATCAACTTCTACTGTAGAGAATGCAAACCAAACGTTGATTTTTTTTATTGAGTTTAAAACTGACCTAGTCAGTGTCCTGACCGTAACCCAATTGAACACATTTGGGCGATAATAGACAAGCATGACCGTAATAGGAAAGAAGTTAACACAGAAGATGATTTTTTGCGAATGAAAGGAATGATGGAAAAATCTGGTAAAGGACGTTGAATTATCAAAGAATTTAGCCTATAACATGTTATGAAGAATTAAAGCCGTTATTAAAGAAAAATGTTACCCAACAAAATAGTAAATCATTTTTTGACTTGTATAATGTACATATGAACACCTTTATTAATACCCTGTATTAATAAACGAATTTTGTTACTCACTTGTCTCGGTAACATTAGCAAAATCGACTTTCTGTGGGGGGCGTACATTTTTTCCCTCGCACTGTAGGTATACATATTTGGTATAAGAATGCCTTGCGCCAAAATCAACATCCTATACCAAATGATCCATGAAGGAGTATTTAAATTAACCGTTTCCAAAACAGAAGCTATGATCTGGAATTGGAATGAGAGTAGACGGCAAACATACTGTGAATATATCATAAAATCGAGATTGAAGTATTGATAAGTACCACAAATTTAGACAACGATTCTTTATTTGGTCCCAATATATCTTAATATAGAGGTTCTTCAACATCATAAGATAATAGAAGTCCAAAATACTGACATGAAATAGCAACTTCAAGTCTAGACACTCATGTGGAAGTCATAAATTGTGCCTAACTTGATCAGAAAAGTTTGAACTAACAACAATTTTCTAATATCAATGTTTATAAACATTATTCAGATGAATAAATTCTTTAAATATCAAAATTGATCTGACATAAAACCTTATCGATACCAACTCAAATACAAAGTGAGTCACCAAATAAGAAAGAAATAGTTAAATATTTCGAACAATAGTTGCAACATAAACGGATAGCAGATTTAACAAAAAGAAAAATAATGACATAATATGGTGAATATTCACATTAACGAAAGGAAACAGATGGAAGGAAACTTCTGAGAGTAATTGAAAGAAGGAAAACAGAGATTTGAGAAATCTAATTTTCTGAAGAAAAGTCCATTAAAAATAAGATTTTATATAATTTAACTGGCATTAACATTACATCTTCGGTTAATGACTACCATTTTTTGCCTTGTAATAAAATGATAATTCCTCCATTTTGATTTAACATTAAGTCAGAGAGAAGACAGGCTTTTATTAGTGTCAAATGTTATAAAAAGGTCTTATTTTTAGTTGAATAAAAAAGGGTGGCATAAGCCAGATTTACACGAGTATACAAAAGTTATATATATATATGATCTGTTTAAACTGCGTAAAAAATGGTTGACATACATGCGGTTTACATTAGAGTGAAAACGTAGATATTGTTCCAATTTGCACTAGATTAAAAAAGAAGGTAGAAAGTGGCGAGTTTGGACTAGATCCAAATGGATAGATATAGGTTAAGTTTAAATATAATGCAAAAAGGTGTATTCAGTTCCGGTTCATACTCTGCAAATATCCATATTTACGTGGCCCCTTTCTGTGGAGTCTTATCCTGATGCATTCAGTGTATACTAAAACCAACCAACAAAGCAGATGGCATTTCAAATAACAATTATTTCTCCTAACATTGCATCACGGATTTAATCACTATCCCGCCGACGTAACGTCGCTTCCCTGTGCATTTTTTATAAGTATTTTCATAGCAATTGTTCTTACGAGAATTCATCTTTAGTACTTCGAGTTCATGCATTTGAGCGTAGTACTAGATTGGCAGCTAGGTCTCATCTTTTTTACTGTTGAAATTGCTAAATATAACTATAAGTTATTTTCTAATAGTTTATTTGCTCGTCGTTCTCGCCATTGGAACTCTCTTCCATCTTCATGCATTCATTTCCGCTACACACGACAAAAATTTAAATAAAACGCCAATTGTCATCTTCTGTCTCCATGAATCCTCAGTAAACATTTTTCCAGATTCCTTCACTCTAAATAACCACTTGGGTCTTAGTTGATTTATCTCCTTGCTTGAGATAAAATGATTAAAAGAAAACGATATGTAGGATATAATTATTACTACAGGACCACTTGTGGCTCAGCGGAATGACTAATTCCATATTGGCGTTGAACCAAATTTGAATATAATCAGTTGGGGTACATTTCTTTGTATGGAATTTCAAGCATGGAAAGGAATGTGTATGTGTTGTTGTGCCTCTACGAATCTAATGATACGTAGGGACAGTACATTTACTACAGTCATAGTAGCAATGGTGTGTCTAGCGTAACGTAGGATGATTTTAAATTTCATAGCAAAAGAGCCAGGTCCGATTTACTAGATTTACTATTTAAACCCATAGTTAGAGGAAGCCAAAATCATGTTTTTTTTAATTTTTTTTTTTTATCTCGAGGTCATTAACACGAAGTGATAGCGAAAGTGAATCGAGATGGAAATGAGTGCGGCCTCCCAAAATCAAATGAAATCGCCGTGCTTCCTTGAAACGAATAATATTCACAAGCCGCTATGATGTTAGGCGCAAAGGACCAAGCAAAGGTCGTGGAAAGTGAATCGGAGATGGCAAATATTTGTAGGTAATATGAAACCAATAAACAAAGAAAATGCAGTCATGATAAACAATAAAACGAAAAACTCAAAGTGGCACAGCAAATGAATCAATCAAACTAAACCTTTTCTTATAACCACTTGAAAACTCGAAAAGAGTCGAATCCGAACAGAATAACAAACATACTTCTTTCATTATTATTATTATTATTATTATTATTATTATTATTATTTATAAATTAATATAATTCCATTTTCTAATCTTCTTACACTTCAAAGTCCGGAATTGAAGTTCTTTCTTGGCTTAATTGGGAAATTGGTTCTATCGGAAAATCGAGAAAAATTCAATTGGCCTTTTCGGGGCAGCTTGTTATACTACGTTAAAAAGAAAGAAAGAAAGAAAGAAAGAGGAAGTAAAAAGAAAAGGCTAAAATGAACAAGCTCATGGAAGAAATATTTTTTTAAAAATCCGAGAAAGAAAAAAAAACATATGAAAGAACCAATGTCATGGGGAAAAAAAAGAAAAAAGGAAAAGACAAGTAAAGAAAAAGGTTTAAAATAATATAAAAGAAAAAAAAAAGCTAAAAGTAGAAATGACAAAGAAAGCCAGTGCACACAATGAAAAAGAAATAAAGAACGTGGCATATATGAAAAATGAAAGGAATAAAATCTTTATGAGAGTGAAAAAGACAGAAGGATGGCACACAAAAATTAATAAATTATATATTTTCCTGTTTCTTTGGCAAGAAAGATAAAGATAAAATAAAATAATAAAATAAAATGAAGAATATTTGATGAAAATGAAAGCGAAAAGAACCGAAGCCATCAAAGAATAAATAAATAAATAAATAATAATAGAATAAACAAATGTAACAAATAAAATTGGGAGTGGAAGACAAAAAGGAACGACAAAATAAACGAGAAAAAAAATAGAGGAATTTAAAGAAAAAAAAAACCAGATAAAACGATGGATATGATGAAAAATTCCAAAAGAAGATATTGTCTGATAAAAAAAAATGGAAGTCTATTAGTTCTGCTTCATAATCAATGTCACCACAGCGTCTCAGATAGACACTACAATTCATCCTTCTTTTTACACCGCTCTCGCATTTCCGGTCGGAGAAATTCTGATATTTTGACACGAATGTCAAGGTAAAGGTTTCTGCATGGCTAGAGATGCGAGAATAGGGGAGGAATTGTTGGTGCTCTGTTAAAGTGCTCAACTGGAAACTCAATGTTCTCATAGCGAAGATCAAATCTAGACTTTTGCATATCACACTTTCTCTATCTTTACCGTTTCTTTCGTAATCACTTTACCAATGCCTTTTGATCCTTTTCCCTTCGTATTTTATTTATAAAACTCATTTGTTCACCCTTTTCTTCCTAACTCAAAGTGAAGACATATTATTTTGCTTTTCACAAAGTCAGTCACTTTTTAATTCACCATTTTTATTTTTGG